TCGGCTGTTAATTAATAAATGGAGATAAAATCCGGAGTGCACGCGTCACAAGCCCCCGTGAAATAACGAATAACATGCTCCACTGACGCATTTGAAACTTGATTCGAAAGAGCATTCTTATTTTCCCTATCGAAAATATTAAAGCTTAAATATTATTAGTTTCACAGGCGTTACTTAGTAATATTAATAAAATTATTGAATAATACTGTTAAAGTCCACAATATATTTTTGTCATTAACTAATAAAGAATAATCGATTATAGTAATTGAACTAATTATCATTATTAACTTGTGATTGAATTTTCATTTGAAGTTTCGACAAAACTGGTTTACTAAATACATGAATTTTAGAATAATTTAAATATTTAAGAGACAAATTTTAGAAAGATAAAACTTCCTAACACCTGATAACAAGTTTTTCATATAGTCCAATGCTTGGGGGTGGGTTTTTAGAAGTGGTCCTCCCGAAGGCGACATTGGTTTCAAAAAAAATATCTTTTTTTGTTCACCGATTTTCTTTTCTATTTATTAGTATCATAGACAACATAATATGAACCCAATTTAAATTAATATAGTCATAGAATTTGTAATTGTCATGATTATACAATTTTTTTTCTGGCCATAATATAATTTATAAAATACAGTTATAAATTGTTATAAAATAATATACCAGTGTTCATTAGTTAGTGGCATTCAATACTACAATATGGAGTCTTGCTTCGATTTACGGTCGAGAGAACAATACCTTTGCTAAAATAATTTGGCATTCGGTTAGGGTGTGTTTATTTTCACTCCTATGTGTAAGAGGGCCTTCTATCTAGCACATACAGTATAAGAGAAATTTTGAAATTCCAACCTCACGAGAGATTCATTATTCGAGACGATGAATTTGGAATGTGGAAACTGTAGAAAAGCTTTGAAGTAGATCCCACTGAGTTTCTCGCCGGATCTTCTCAGTGGGTCGCGTTTCCTATCCAGTGGTAGATTCTGCGAAGCACGGCTCTTGCTAGGGTTTGTGTTTTTTTTTTTTTTATTTTATTTTTTATTGCCTTTGTAGGCAGACGGGCATACGGCCCACCTGATGGTGAGTGGTTACCGTCGCCCATGGACTTCAGCAATGCCAGGGGCAGAGCCAAGCCGCTGCCTACCGCTTAATACTCTCCATAAGCCTCGCTTGAAGAAGGACATGTCATAGCGCTCGGGAAACACCGTGGAGGGGAGCTCATTCCATAGCCGGATGGTACGTGGCAAAAAAGATCTCTGGAAACGCACTGTGGATGACCGCAGTGGCTCCAGGTAGTATGGATGAACTCTACTCCGGTGGCGGGCGGTGCGATGGTAAAAACGAGATGCTGGTATCATCTNAAGAGAAAGGAGATGTTGGTCCTATATTTCTGGACGCTACGTAATTACTATTTTTCATTATATACTTAAACACAATGTAATGTTTATTACGTCTATATGAAGATAAACAGCGACCCCAAGTACATATATGCGTTTCGATATGATAAATCTAGCTCCCTCTTCTTCGTTTATGATGCAATCTGCAATCTAATCTTGAAGTCGTTTCCTAAGACAAACTGTATCCAACTTGTCAACGCTGGGATTTTGTTTACGATGCATGTGTGACGAAAACACAGCGGTTCACTATAGAGCTGAATTTATGAAGAGATGTTTTAAATTAGTATTTACATTTAATTTTAAAATAAAACCATACTTATTAATCTTTATATTATATACTAGCTGACCCGGCAGACTTCGACTTATTGCCTCAATCGATAAATAAAAGACCTAAACTTTTGTATAAAATAAACTTAAAACAAACAAAAAGAATCCGTCCGACGGAGGACACATCAAAGGAAAAACAAAATTGTTAATTTTATTTAATTCCGAGCATTTTCATATTTATCTACCTTTTAAACCTTCTCTGGACTTCCACAAATAATTCAAGATCAAAATTAGCCAAATCGGTCTAACGAACAGCAATATATATGTATAGATATAGATATCTTCTGTGCGCGTGTTTGTCATTGAACTCCTACTAAACGGCTGGACCGATTTGAATGATTTTTTTTGTATGCGTTTGAGTGGCACCCTGGCTGGTTTCGATTCATAAATCAGCCCGACAGATGGCGCTGCAGTCGGTACCTAGGTTATTTATCTTTCCTTGAAATAATTTATATGGCAAAACAACGTTTGCCTGGCCAGCTAGTATATATGTATATTCTGTTCTATATATATATATATATATATATATATCCATAAACTTATATATTTATATATATAAACGATACGATAAATAAAAGTAGATGTACATATGTATGTCACCTATAGACTCCGAAATGATTGGAGGAATTTCGATGAAATTTTCAGAAAATCGCTTAGTGGGTGATCCTGTGAGCCTGATAGTAGCGATCGGATCAAATTAAATCAAGTTACAGTCGACAAAGTGGACCAGGCTTGACTATTTGCATATGAGTAATCATAATAATAATCTCGCATAAGTAATTACGATCCTCTTTTTTTTTCGGGCTCCAAACAATCATATTTTCCGGTTTAAAGGACAATAATCTGTTCCAATCTAATTTGTGTTTCCTTATTGGTGACCTAACTACTCTAAAAAGGCGTATCATCTGTAACCATCATAGTTGTGATCAGTCCTAGGAAGATGAAGAAATATAATCAAGGATCTACTCCTACTTTCCCATGGGTAAGTCCTTTATCGTTTATCCTATCATAATGTTTGTTTTTAATATCGAGATTTTTACTTTTTAAAAAGGCGATAGGTAGACTTAATTAAATAGATTTTAAAAACTATAATGCAATAGTGTTTGCGACCTCGTCAATTTTAGACATTTGATCTATGGACGATAATCACTTTTCTATTAATATTAACATACCTCAAACAACAGTAAATAAAACTAAAAGATCGTTTAGGTTATAGTAAAACTCCTAATCATCTGTACTTACTTAACTTGGTCGTTACAATTCAGTCCCCTTTATAAGCTGTATTCATTATAACAGAGGACAATTTCGCGGCAAACACGCCGCGCAGTTGTATTAACAATTCATAGGAAATAACACGTAACAATAGTAATCAGCCGTTTGCTTATGAAAGAAAAATCACATTTCGAAGGCAGGCGAGGCGGTGCCAAGCACAGATTTCGTCGGCAATGTATCGTGAAATTAGTTTAGTGGCACTATATAATTACGCGCCCTCACTTTTTATAGTCCCTCGATCGTCGTCCGCCAAGGGTGCCGACCCCCCGGCTCCTGTTATGACGAAAATGTCAACCCGGTATGCGTTTTGATGAATCGACACTATTTTAAACATTATATCCTCTTGTCCAATATGATACCTTAATAAATCGACAAGCAACTTCCTGTAACAGTAAAAGCTCAGCTAAAAGGGTTGCTCAAATAAAACACGAACTGAAAGATACATTTCAATTATTTATTATATAAAATCTTAACGCTACGTTATTTGAATTTAACTTATAATAACACGTGAAATTTACATAGCTACTCGTTTAATAGATAATAGTAATTAGTTTATAATTATTGCGCAAGATCTTCCCAAGAGGATCGGAAATACTTAAAACATTATTTTACTTAAGTACGAATATTTATTAACTAGTACACGATAAACGACAAAGCTCAGGTATTCCTTACGATTTTAAATTATTTAAAAAATATGTATTTACATAGTGATATGAAAGAGTCTGAAAAATATATCTATGTTAACGCGACTAAAAGCTTGCAATGAAGCACCTACTTGCCTACGCTTATCCTACCACAGCTGTTGTCGCAACTCACAAATGACCTTATAACTACAAGTTTCGCATCTAAATGCATCGTACGCATTAAACATTATTTGATTTGAGATAAAAGAGAGAGATGAGGAACCATAATAAGGATATGATCAATATTGACTATTTATTGTTTACTATTTTTCATCGGTTGTCACGAGTTTTGAGAAAGATAATAAAGAAAATGCGTGATTGAACCGTAAACTAGTTATACATAATTGTATTAATTTGTAATAATGAATGTTAGCTTTAATTTTTTTTTATTGCTTCGATGGGTGGACGAGCTCACAGCCCACCTGGTGTTAAGTGGTTACTGGAGCCCATAGACATCTACAACGTAAATGCGCCACCCATCTTGAGATATACGTTCTAAGATCTCAGTATAGTTACAATTACTACGGCTGCCCCACCCTTCAAACCGAAACGCATTACTGCTTCACGGCAGAAATAGGCAGGGTGGTGGTACCTACCCGCGCGGACTCACAAGAGGTCCTACCACCAGTAAAAATTTGTTAGTTGATATTTCAAAACACACATTTCGTTACAGAGCCGCATAATTTGATATCATTACAGTATTATTAAGTACGAGTAATTGTATGAACTTTTGAAATGCATTACAATTTTACTAATGTCAAAACTTGCACACCACATAGTGAAGAACAGTGTAGAAAATTAATTTCCGTACATATAATAAGGATATTCTTTTTTAGATTTTTAATTTGATAAGTAACGTCTCTTAAGCCGTCAATAATATCAATGCGATGCCTAATATCTTATAATACTGAGCAGTGGCAAACACATTTCAAGAAACTGAGTTGAATACTGAGTTCGATGTTTTTTCTTTGCTTTAAGCTTAAGTGTATCTATCAGAGAAATTCAGGGGTAATTTATAATTCAATACTCAGATAATAGGTAAAAAAACTCTAGTAAAAATATTAAAGGTGCATTTTTTTTTTAAATAAGAAATCGGTAGTTCTTCCTTTGTGTTCCTTTGTAAATATTTGAATTTATCAATTTAAAATTATACTATTGGTATATTTTTCATGATATGAACTCGAAATTTTGCAGGTACTAAGAATGATACGTGTCATAAGGCTACTTCTGAATAACAGTTTTATCAATTACACTAAATAAATAAATTAAACATTTTTTCATTGAAATATGTGAAAATATGATGAATACGAGAAAATATATTATGTAAAAAGTCATCAAATAAAAAAATTAAAAAAAACCATTATAAGATTAACGGAACGGTGACATCATCAGCTTCACGTGTCCACGAAATTCCTTACTGAAAAGTCGTAGACCATTAAGTTATAAACACGGTTTTGTAATAATTTAACAGCTATATAAAAATTGTTGCCCTAAAACGGGGATTGCCTACATTCATTTATTGCTTCAATCAAAGTATGACGTCATAGCGTGTCTAGGTTATATTAAAATAAAAGCCTCATTAAATCTACGGGTGTATAATGAGCGATAATTTAGTCATACGTCCGCGTAAATGCTTAAATTACTTTTTACTAAACGAATTTCTTATTATATCACAGGCTTAAATTATACGTTACAAGTAGGGACGTGCATTCTATACGTACTTATGAAATACGGTTGAACGAAATTAGGTAACTATTTACACAAATAGGGGAAAAATAATGAGGAGAGCCCTCCCACAACCCTCGGAGATTTCAAATTACGACCGCGGCTGTACTAACGCGCCGCGATACGTATCAATATACTTGAATCGCTAATGTACTATCATGTAAAAGTCTTGATACTTTAACATTTTTTTATAAAATTATACTTGCTGAACGAATAAACTGCATAGCTAAATAATACTATTAGTTAGGAGTTAATTGGAAATTAATAGATTTTTGTAAATCGAAATCCAAATAAATGACTGCTTCTTCTGGTATATAAAAACTAAGTTGTTTTAATACAACTAACAAATTTTCTATGCTTATCCAACAAACAAAGCGTACTTACAGTTCGAAAATACAATTTCTAATCACTTTTATACATAACATTCACAAACAAAGCAACTCACAACGCTTGTTATTTCGATCCAATTTTTCATTAAATATTAAAATGTCCGTCAAACTTGAGAGTCCCACCACCTTCTCATGTTCCTAATGGGTTTGCTGAACTGTTCACTATGTTGTTTGTTAATCATCACTACACTTTGAAAGTCTTTATAAAAGCTATAGGTTCTCTATTGCTATAGCACATCACTATCTTGTATATATTAGTCACGGAATTATTTATCTGGAGCGGATGCTGTTGCATGACGGATTTTCTCACGAGAATATATTGAAGTACCTGAGGCCGGCCGTAAGGTACGGTATCGGTATTACTCCTATGTAATAATTAACAGACTGAAACATGAGATAGGCGATGCTCAGGAGCTATCACACTATTTCGTTCGGATGCGTGTTCTGATTCGAATCATTTTGCCGAGCGCATTGCTGAAAAAAGAAAATTACACAATACAATATGAATTCGGGAACGTACAAAAAACATATTACTCGCTTCAGGAATTACGAATACCTCTTGCTTTCTTTCCCACGTCTTCATAGCAGTTTTGTACTTTTCGAACTCGTGACACCAATTTGAATATATCTTTTGATATTCATTGCTTTTCTCCGGCGGCGAGCACCTGTAAAGAAATAAGGATAGCATTTATACAAAAGTTAGATGTGAAAAAGGTTTAACCTTTTTGTAACATTTTTCTTAACTTACGCATTTTCAAAAGGGGACAACGTAAACTAAAGTTTGAATCTTACTGGATGTGTTTTGCTTATGCTTACCTATGTGTGTCAACAGTGATGTTATATGAGCATAACAAAGAGCCTCCTAGCCAGCAATCATATCTTCCAGCGTCCGCTTCATTCACAGCGATTATCAGTAGTCCATGCTCTGAGGTCTCGATATACTTTTCTGGTTTACTGTAAATAAAATTCAACTATCAAAATCGTGCAAGCACACTACAGTTTGTTTGTACCATGTTCCCAATTAAGTTGTTTGTTTTGACGTTTTTGCATTATTTTACGATTAAATGATCGCGGCCAATGAAAAGGAATATTTTGTAAATATTATAATGATACTAAATATTATTATTTCGCTTTTAAGTTTATTGACTTGTTAAATTATTTAATTTTCCTACCATTGAATTCGCTGCTTATAAATTCTAGTAGCGTATGAAAATATTTTACCTTATTATGCTTAAATTTAATTTGGAGAACATCAACCTTCTAGGACATTTGTATTAAAATTTTATAAGCTCAAGTTGATTACAGTTGATAAACAAGTGATCTAAAGCACATCTGTGAACCGTGTTTTTCAATTTCAATAATTTATTAATGTATCAAGTGTGAACGTTCGTGAACATAAAGCACACGTATCCTAACAAATAAGATTATTCGCAAATTCGTATTCAGGGAATAACTAAACTGTAGTTCGATTGTTAAGGAATATAAAAAATAAAATACGCTTCGAGAATGTTTTATGAATGAGTTCCACGAAGGAATAATCATCAAAGTTAAGGTGAGTCAAACCTGCACAGATTTTTACGTACTTCTCGTGGTTTTGTATTTTAAAGTGTATTGTAGACTTTGGTTTGGTTTTTTATTAAAATTTGAATAATTTTAATAAATTTTTTATTGTTGTCTTAAACAGAATATAAATGCAAATTATTACACGTAATATTTACTATAACTTCCGAAGAAACCGGAGCACCAAATATGACATGACATAATTGACAACACTGACCTTGAGAAATAGGGCTTAAATCTGTAAATGCATAGATTGATGAAGGCTCATTATACACTTTATCACTAGTAAAGTCTAACGTTGTCTAGTCTCGAAGTCGGCCCGCATGATATCGATTGGCCCCAAAAACCTCTCACTGTGAGCGATTAATAAGGTAAACATAGACTTAAAACTTTTAATGTAACTTCAGTTTAATAAAAGGAAAGGCTCCCGTAAAGTCCAACAATAATTTCAGTTGAAAACGTTCGAAGAGAAAATTCGAATGCCGTTAACAAAAAGCTAATACCAAAGTTTCCCCTTGCATTTTAATTGTGAGCGCGGAAGTGCGATAAGAACAGAAGATTTGGGAGCCCTTTAATTAATGTTGTTGCATGCGTGTTCCGTTAGAGTGTTTTCTGAATTACTTCAACAATTTAATGTGTATTTATCTTCGCTTTTGTGCCAAGCTAAATTACTGTGCAGGTGCTTTCGGTGTAATTAAATTGTGGGTGCCTTAAGCGCCCATTAAACACTTTTTGTTTTCAGACTCATTAGCCGCATTGGAGTTAAAATGAGATATGACTGTTTTCAGCTGTAAAATTTCGACCTTTCTACTCTAGATAAAAAAAAAAAAACATATCTGCAATTCCAAGTGTTATGAAATTCAATACTTCGTAGGATAAATTTTATTAATACTGCACTATATGTTTTGCGTAGCAATTTAAGAACTACGAGATCGCTACGAGAATTACTGGATTGCTAGTTTTGTTATTTTGTCACTTACAGAGTACAATTAGAATTTATGACCCATATATAGTCCGCATATGAAATATTTAATATTTCTCTAATAGTTACTGCTGACATTTCTATGTCACTTGTCCTGTTTCTAGTTATGCTACCGCTCCGATCTGACAGGAAAGGTAGTACGAGTATGTATAGGTTCTACCACTCGGTTAAAACTAAGACCTAGTCCGCCTATATACTGTAGTACAAAAATGACCATGACCATGACTAAAATGTCATTTTTCTATCTCATATACATATATTAAGGTGGGCCAAAAAAAACTTTAATTTTTTTCTTTTGGTACTACGAAAATATCGTCCAAGATGACGAAAAGAAATTTTGGTAAAGTTTGAGTTCTTAATATTAATACTTAGAGGTACATCGTGATTTTTGATTTCCCATTTAAATAACACGGGAATTTTTTTTTCTTTGGATTTTTTACTGTATCTCAACGAATTATCGTGTAGTAAAAAAATACATACATTTGTAGAGAATTAAGCGGCCGACAAAAAAGGTCTGAAATAATTTTTTGCTCAGTCAACTCGGTTAAAAGTTATTCGCAGTTAAAGTTTAACCTAAAATAATATATCATGACTTTAAAAATTTATTATACTTTTTTACAAAAAAATGGTATAAAAACATAACAAATTTTTTTTTTTCGTTTTTACGTATATAATATAACATAAATAATTTTATAAAAAATACAAATGTGATTTTGAACGGAAAGAATATGAAGAAAGAAAAATGTATTTATTGACAGTAATTTAAAAAAATCGATCGATAAAGGAATCGATAAATAGTTTTGAATTCCACTTTTGACAAACATGAAATTTAAGTTCAAATAAACCATTTGAACCAAAACCAAATAAACAATTTATATTTGAATATCGCAGGTGTAAGTAAAAAAAAAACTCACTTAAATGTAATCGGGTGACGACCCTTTTCCCTTGAATAGTGAAACCAAGTGACAGCCCTAGGTTGGAGTACTTCTGGCATCTTCACAAAGCTTCCTAAGTGGAGGCTTTGGCCCCACGTAGCCGACACGCTCTTCCGAGAAATTGATGAATCACAGATATCGGCTGTCTCATTGGCTACATCTTGAATCAGTCTGTTAATTAAAAAAAAATATGTAATTTTATGACAAATTATCTTTAACTTCAATCCTCAAAATTTTAGTGCGGTGTTCATAAGGAATAATAAATCTATCTATATATATATAAAAAATAATTGCTGTTCGTTAGTCTCACTAAAACTCTAGAACGGCTGAACCGATTTGGCTAATTTTGGTCTTGAATTGTTTGTGGAAGTCCAGAAAAGGTTTGAAAGGTAGATAAATATGAAAATGCTCGGAATTCAATAAAAATTACAATTTTGTTTTTCCTTTGATGTGCCCTCCGTCGGACGGATTCCTTTTGTTTGTTTTAAGTTTATTTTATACAAAAGTTTAGGTCTTTTAATTGTCGATTGAGGCACTAAGAAGTCAGCTGGGTCAGCTAGTACGTAATATAAAACAGCAACTATTCATGCTTTCTAAGTCTCTTAAGAAAGATAGACAAAATATGAAATATAATTATCAACTACGTTATAGGCTGAATAATATAAGTTGACACTCACCCAGGTATATACTCGCGACAGACGCTAGCATCTCTGTCCCATCCGCAGTACGGATCTCTTGCACACCTTACGCAAGCATCATACCGTCTCGCACACAAAGCCAAACGGAGTTGTAGCACTCTTCTATCAGATGCTGCATACAACGAGCCGTGGATACGCGAAATAGCCATTGCCTGATAGAAAACGTACTTTGTTACACTGTGTTTTATAATCAAAAGTTCTCAGTACGCCACGTGCACATACAACGCCATCTGTGTTCTAGGATACAGAAATTTGCTTAAATAATTTTCCTACGAGACAGTTTTTGTCACTACTACAAGCCTCAAAGCATTTGTGTCTGTGTATTTTATTTTCGTCATGGTGTGTGTGAAAAGGGATTTCCAGAAATAAAATTAAGTTAATTTGCTCTCTGATTATCGGAAAATTACACCGTAACTTTGAATTAATAAACATTTCGTAGTAATGTTTTTCGTCCTCGGGATTTTAATCTGAGTTGCGACGCTCGTCACTATAAGTTGCTGTCTATTGTGTTATATTAAGCTTACTGCAATATTTCGTCAGTTTTTAATAGTAATAGGACGTATCGTAGACCTGCACTGCTATCCTGGCTATTTCAGTCGCGAAGCAGTCTTGTTTGAAAGGTAGGGCAGTTGTTATATCATACGATACAGTTAAAACTTTAATTTCGTGTCGCAAAGTGTGTAGCGGCATTCCCGTTATGAAGTATGTAGGCCCCTGAACGACGTAGCACCGACACGTCTACGTAGTGACATCTCTTGTACTCTGACTCATGTCTTGTAACAGACATGTGTCGTGAAAGAAAAAGAAAAAAAAGCAATCAGTAAGCAAATTCTGGTCTAATTCCAATAGTTTGCGTATGTTGGGCTCTAGTTTTTTTGTCAAGTCCTTTAGTCCTTTATACCTGCAAAAGCATAATTGGTTCTCGGCACAGTCGTACCAACTGTGATCGAATTTTGAGTCTAGTTTCGGAGGGGAGAAGGGGACCTAATTTTCTCAATCTGAAATCGATGTGCTCTAGTAAAAAAAACTTGCTAAGGATTTACCTGTATCGGCTCTCCTGGAGTAACGTCAAATATGTCAAGCAGAGCCGACTGACTGTCTCCATTTCTAGTCCACTGTACAATCTTGTGTATTTTTCCTTCGTCTGCAACAAACATGAGATAATTTCAAAAGCAGTTCCAACATAACTTTAATTTGTTATTCATGTTTTGTCCTGTCAATTTATGGGAACAATTTCTTTATAATATAACACAATGGCAATGGAATTTAGGGATTATAATGTGATCCTGCAATAAAACGCTTTTTGGTGTCCAATATGGTTATCGGTAATCGTGCAAATTAAATATTGGGCTTATTATGGAAGTTTGTTCTGGGCATTAACTAGGTACATGTTCATTTAGATAGCTTGGATACTACTTTAATTCGATCGCAGCTATAAACGTTTCACTCGATACGTAATTACCGTCTACACATTCGTCTTACACGTTCCGATGTTGACTTGTAATACACAATTTAAGTGTATAATTTCCTAAAAGCTTAATTTCCTCGAAATTATCTACTTACACTTCACTTAAGGTTCATCAAATATGTATTAGAACATTAAGCATCATATAACACATTATAGGTATTAGCGAAATGCCAATGGTTAATTGCATACATTGCTCAATTAGCGAGATCTTAGTGGTTTATAAACGTATGTTTGCTTAAGCGTCTAAATAGGTATTAATAATTAATATTATTATTTAGTACAACATTTCCTCATTTTAAGGCTCGGCTGGATATACTATTATGTACATATATCTACTTTTGATGATATAAAAATGGAAGATTTCATAATTTACATCTAATGCATATGTTGCGCTGGGATCAATAGTTATTTTCATGTACATATATTTCAATATACATATCGACGCTTGAAAGTCAAATGTGACTAAGCGACAATGCGTGAACTTTACAGTAGACTAATTTAAAGTTGAAATACCTGAATAAAATTCGATTTTAACGAATCTAGCTGTAGGATTGAAACGATTTTAATAGACCTAGAAATATATATTTTTTTGCGCATCGAATATGGTTATTGCCTATGATTTATGTCCAAAGCAGTTATTGTCGATTAGTCACGTTTGCCTTTCAAGCGTCGATATGTATATATGTAAATAATTTCCATGGGAAACATACTACTATTACAATGTTTAGTTCTGTAACTATTAATACTGTTGTTATTATTAGAATCTCCCAGTTATGTACTTGAAGTATATTAGTTTCATAATTTTTAATTCGATGATTTAGTTTCAAACAACGAATGGTATATTTGATTGAAACACGTTTTACGATTTAATCTCGCGTAACGCGAAATTATAAGTGATATTTAAGCTTCAAAGTATAAAGTGCGTGATTAGAAGCTAAATTTGTATTTAATCAAAGCCTTTGAGAGCTGTTACTAAATATTCGTAGGTAAATAATTACTATGTCTCTTAATAACTAAGTCGCAGCATAGAAGTTCTAGTTTCTAATTGTAGTTTCTACCAGACTTTCTAGTTTTAATCGTAAATAAATAATTGGTTGTAGTTAGGTAGTTAAATACAACAAATAGTTTCTAATATCTATAAGTTGCCGTTAACAGTAACAAAATCATTTGTACGTATCAATAAACTCCTGAGTTCAATTTCTTCGAATCAAATTCGACTATAAATAATTGAAATTATAAGTTTGAACATTATACGGTTCTTTTGTCAAAGAGACAAAGACTATTATATTTCTATAATCAAAGATTTCGCCAAGACTACAGTATACAAATAAAATTAAAGATAAACAATATTAAGTAACCTATTCTCAATTTGACCACAGACTAAGCAATAGCAAAAGTTTGACAGTAAACAAATACTATGTGTGTATATAAGAATATAATAATATTATGCGTGTGTGTCAAATACATGGTAGTGTGGGTGATGTTTTTTTTATTAATTTAATGTATTAATAATGCATATTTAAAAAAAAATTAGGATTGTGCACTTCTTCTCTATATTCTCTGTAAGTGTGGAAAATTTCATACTCCTCCGTCCGCGCAATTTTCGTAAAAAGGGATACATAGTTTTTGCTTCACGTATTAATATATAGATAATACCGAAAAAGGAAGGTGTCTCCAAAATCACAGTCAACGTCAACAAACACTATCGAAACGTGATAGTTACAAAAGCCTAAGGTCACACGTAGGGGGTTCCTTACAACGCGACCGAATCAACCAAATTAATATGCGACCCACGGATCTTAATAGCTAATTGGATTAGGCATGTACCGAAATTACCAAACCGAGTTACTATCAATGCTGAGCGTGTCGCAGAACGTCGCAGCCTACTATTATTGTGTTTGCCAAGTTATAGTTGAGCTATAAATCAGTAATTATATTATTCCCCTTGTTATTATTGAATCGAAGTATATTGATTAAGCAAGCGGGCACGTGTGATTTATACGCTACGGCTTTGTTCAAAATCGCGTTATTTTAGTGCGTTGATTACACAGCTCATGAAGGTCAGCCAGCGGCGTTGTTTATTTTTAATTAAAAATAAGTTTAGATTTATTTCATTATTGGATTTAGCTTATTAATAACTTTACTACAGAAATATAATGTAGATTAATTTTTTTTCATACCACTTTATAGCCATGATCAGAGTTTATTATTATGGATTATCTGGTGATGGTAAGTAGTCATCGTGAGTAACATAAAAGACACAGCCAAGAAAGAGGATAAAGCTAAAAAAAACGTTTCAGCTAGTTTCTCAGTTCTCTCCATTTAAGTTTATTTGTGAAAAATGCTTTAGACAGAATAGGGTATACGAAAGGGTAATTTAGTAAGCAGGCCATATTATTGCAAATTAGGTTTTAACTTTTTTATTGCATAGATGGGTGTACGAGTTCACAGCACACCTGGTGTTAAGTGGTAACCAGAGCCCATAGACGTCTACAACGTAAATGTGCCCACCCACCTTGAGATATAAGTTCTAAGGTCTCAGTATAGTTACAACGGCTGCCCCGTCCTTCAAACCGAAACGCATTACGCTTCACGGCAGAAATAGGCAGGCTGGTGGTACCTACCCGCGCGGACTCACAAGAGGTCCTACCACCAGTAAATCCATTTGGAAAGCTTAGTCTTATTCAATGTACAAACGTTTTACATCCGAATACATTTACTCAAAACCGAATTTGAAATGTCCTTATTAGCATGTCGAAACTCTTTAGTAAATCTCCAAAGTACGTAAGCTCATTTGCCGTGTGAATATTTATATAAATTCCTGATTTTGTGGTGATGGTCTGAAATTTATTTAAACGCACACTCCGGGCTGGAAGATAATCTGTAAATGTATTATATAATATCATTTGCGACCCGCCCTCGCTTCGCTTCGAAAACTGTAATTTATTATTGATTTCTCCACTATTTAATGGATGTTATTATACATATCTAAGGAAACAGCTTGTCTCCTGACATAGGCCTCCTCTAATGTTTTCCACAAGGTCCTGTCCTTTGACTTTCTCAGCCACTCTCCGCCAGCTATTCTTTTGAAATCATCTTCCCATCTTTGATTTTTTCTGCCTTTACTTCTATGGCCATCTCTTGGGTACCATTCCGTTACATTCTTTGTCCACTTTTCTTGTGTCTCTCTTAACATATGTCCTGTCCATCTCCACTTTTGCATTTTATGTACCTTTTCGACGCTTTTTAATTTTGTTATATTTTTTACGTATGTTAATCTAATTTTATCTTTTCTCTTAATTCTAGTGATTAGATTAGATATAAGTATTGTAAATTTTTTAACAGCAACAAAGGCTTATTATTATTATTATTATATATATAAACCTTCCTCTTCAATCACTCTATCTATTAAAAAAACCGCATCAAAATCCGTTGCGTAGTTTTAAAGATTTAAGCATACATAGGGACAGACAGATATAGGGACAGAGAAAGCGACTTTGTTTTATACTATGTAGTGATGTTCACTGAAAATATTTTCAAAATAGACAAATAAGTACTTATCGTAAGTACAAACACAACAAGAAATAACTTTTTTAACAAACCGATAATAAATGACTCTTTATTCTTACATAAACTTAAAGTCCTGTCGTAATTAGCTGTACATACAACTTTGAAGGTCAACTCTATTGCTATTCTTGTAAGACAGTTTTTACAATAAGCTCGATCTGGTAAGTCACACTAATAGTAAATTTAAAAGAAAGTCATAATTTTTAATGGCCGCCGTCTTTGGGATTGATGAAGGTTTGCCATTATAATAATATCCATTTCAATATTCAAAATATCTCATTCAATATATCCTTCAGTTTTTTTTCTTTTCTTAAATGGAAACAAGACTTTTATCAGTCATGAATATAAAATAACTTGTTCATGATTAGGGACGTTTTGTATCCTATTCTAAGAGAAAGGTCTGACCTGGGGGGTGCCTAGAGAATATGATCTTGCGTCTAAGTTGCTGAGTAAATTGGAATATCGTTATATAGTTTTTATGTGCAGCCTTAAAGCTTGTAATTCGATGAAATTTATTATTCTACAAATGTAACATGGATGGAATAGCAATGCCAGTGTTATATAATATGTACTTTTTGATTAAAGGGCATACATATGTATGTACAACATGTATGTATGGATTGTACGTTTATCACTGCCTATACATTGGCACGTCACTTGACAGCACATGGATACGAGATAAGGGGCTCGTGATTGACAGGAACAAGGCAGCAATAATTAGTTTCCCTGATCGTATGCTGTGATTGGAAAGGTTAATTATTAAGTATTGTCTGTCTGTTGTATTCGCTAACGTAACGTGCTGAGTTCTCGAAGTTAATAAATATTTATTACTAGCTGACCCGGCAGACTTCGTAGTGCCTCAATCGAGAAATAAAAGACCTAAACTTCTGTTTAAAATAAACTTTAAAAAAACAAAAGGAAACCGGCCCAAGGAGGTCACATCAAAGGAAAAACAAAATTGTTTATTTTTATACAATTCCGAGCATTTTCATATTTTTTCACCTTTTAAACCTTTTCTGGACTTCCACAAATAATTCAAGACCAAAATTAGCCAAATCGGTTCAGCCGTTCTCGAGTTTTAGCGAGACTAACGAACAGCAATTCATTTA